TTCTAAAATGCTCATTGGGCTTTCGAGCATTTGGATTAACCCACCTTTTTGCTTCCTCTTTGGTAATATAATCCTTTTCAAGAATTGGGATTAGAGCTTGCTCTTCTCTTCGATTCTGCATATTCTCTTCATTCTTAGGGATTTGTATTGCTTCAGAAGTCTGAATAGGTACTTAAACAGGGGTATCACTATCTTTTTCTGAAAATATTTCTTTATGAATTTCAGCTACAATTCCTTTCTTATCTATATAACCCTCCTCCAGTCCTCTTTTTTTATCAAAAGTTCATTGTAAATATTCGAATGCTGAATTTAGAAACATACTCCATTTAGATGTAATCATACCTGTATATGGTTTATTACCCTCTTTTTTCATCTCTAAGTAGAAACGCTTTCTATCAAAGTCCTCAGGTCTACAGCATATCTCCTGTTGTAAATTTTCAAAAGTACATAATTGACTTTTCAATTCCTTATAGTTCCATTCGATAGCAGGATTTTTGAATAGGGTGTCTTTATTGGGTATTTGAACAGGTTCTTGGCTTGCCTCTTGAATAAGCTGTTGGTTATTTTCTTGAATAGGAGGTGTTTGAATAGATGTTTGAATAGTTTCCTGAATAGCTTGCTGATTGTTAGTTTGAGATCTACATGGATTTTTGCGTTTAAGATGCTCACGAAGTTTTTGAGGTGTTGAGCATTTTTGACCACAACGTTTACAAATTGTATCTTTCTTATCACTTCTCGTTTTTTTATTCATGGTGGTGTTAAGTCTAACCGTCTCACTATTACTTGTTTATATTTTTTTTCTTTAATTAATTAATTCCTTTCACTTTTACGATCATAGGTGATTTCAAGCCTACCTAAGCGATTAGCCTTTGCAAAAAAGTGAAATATTAACTAATCACTAATTAATCTTTTCTGGATCTAGTAATAAAAAGTAGGATGATTGGCGAGTATTCATGCCCTTATTTCTGCAACTCTGGAATGTCTTGTGGGAGAGCTTACGTTCAACCTGTAGGATGCCGATTTCATTGGAAAGCTAAAAAACGGATACCATGTTCTGATTGTGGTAAGCCTACATCCTCTGCTTGTGGGCGATGTCCAGATCATGTTAGAGGCTATTATGTTACCCAATACTATAATAGACTTCGATCCAGTTAGACTTATTTATTCGATATGCCTGAGCGTCTTGTCACTCAACCACACTAGGCCTCTGATATAATAGTTTTTGGTTAGACTTGGAAACCGAGAACAGTTAGACTTATTTATTCGATATGCCATTTAATAAGCTAACGCGTCTGAAACTATTTCTGTTATACATATTTTTGGTTAGATTTGGAAACCGAGGACAGTTAGACTTATTTTCGTTAGACTTGAAAACCGAGGACAGTTAGACTTATTTATTCGATATGCTATTTAATAAGTTAACGCGCCTGAAACCGTTTCTGTTATACACATTTTTGGTTAGACTTATTTATTTTCGCAGAAAAGTTAGGACAGTTAGACTTATTTTCGTTAGACTTATATGATAAAATATGCTAATTAATGAGCTAAAGATCGCAGAAACAGTTCCTGATATATTAATATCGTTAGACATATTTTTTTTTATAAATATATAGAATTTAGAAAGCTAGAAGCTGTAGAAGTTGATGTAGTATAATATTAAAAATTAATATGCAATTTAAGCGTGAACAGAATATACAATGTCATTGAGGGTTGTGGGACTTCGTCCCAAAACCCTCACAATGACATTGTGTTATTAGATCATTTATTCAGATGATACTCAATTAATCATTATATTAAAATATCTAAATATTAATTATTATTTTTTGAAATTATAAGTTTTAACCTTTATATCTGAATTTCTAATATATTATTAGTTATTACAATTTGAATTATTTTAATTATTTGACAAATTACTATATTTTTATGGCTTTATAATTTTTTTATTAAATAATATATTAAATATAAAAATTATACAAAAATAAAACTTGATATTATTTGAATTTTTTTTTATTCTATATTGATATGACAAAGTTATAAGATCTAAATTTAAAAAAATTCAGACTTATAATTTTATTATACAACTAAGTTTATAGTCCTATAACTAGTGATACCTAATTAAACTCTTTTTTGAAAAATTGTAATTTTGTCAAAAGTTTTGTCTCTTTAATATTTTTATATGAATAAATATAAAATTATTATATTTTTTAATGTATTTTAATTCAAGGAATTTAGATCAAGTTAAATATAATTTTAGCAATTAAATAAAATAATTTCATTATTAATAAAAAACTAGTTTCATCATTTTAGTTTTGTCAATTTCGTCATATTAAAAAAGGTAATTTTGTCAGGTATCACTACCTATAACTTTTTTTGGGATCTATTTACTACCGCTATATTAATAGTATTGATAGATGTTATATTAAGAAAGACCATAAGCCTAGGTAAATTAGCTATCTGATTTTGATAATCTAGTATTATTAGTATTTACATTTCTACTGAAAAGAAGGGTTGAGTAAGTCCTAATTTTTAAGGCTATTAAATTAGATAAGCTTACTATACCATCAAATAACTTAGAAATCAAACCTAACCTCTATTCTAGAAATGCTAAGTTATTATAATAGATAAAGATAATATAATATCAAATATTTATTACCTAAACTATTATTCAATTTTAAGTTATACAGTATCTACCATTGATTTATCATATTTTTGTTATCAGAAATAGTCTCTTATATAGATAATATGATATTTATTTATTATTAATCAATCTCTTAACATAGTTTTCAAATTCAATCAGTTTATTATGTATCAAGTTACTTATTATTATTACCTATTATTAGGATAAAGTGTAAATATAGTGATATTATATAGCTTATATTATAGAAGTATATAAATAACTATTAAATGATTATCTTATTCTATAAGTTTATGATCTTTAATATATATAATTTATATGTATCTAAGGTTGTTAGGTGAAATCAAGAGTTTAAACAAACATTTAAATAGTAAAAGTAAAATTTGGTTAAATTATATTAAAATGTTATTAAAAAATCCATAAAATTCAGAAAAAGGTAAACTATATCAAAGCTTATAAAATTGGCTAAATTATATCAAACACTTAGTAAAAATTTAGCGAAATTAAAGGTTTAAACATTTAGCTAAATCCAAAATAAGTTTAAACAAGTAATCTTATATGCATCCTATAAAATTTATTCTTAGAATCAAACTGGTAAATCCTATAAATTATTTTATTATGATCTGCATTAGTTAGAAAACTAAACTAGAGTCTATTATAATGTAATAGGATTTGCTTACTACTTAAATAATTCACCTTTAAATTTAAGGTAAAGTTTATATATAAATTTTTAAAAAAATCTTAGGGTTTATAAGGTAAATTTACTTAATAATTAAAAAATATAATTGAAATTATATGGTAAGACTTTTTTATGTGATTAGTAATTATAAGGTAAGATTTATGCATTTTTCAAAATATTATGATTTATAAGATAAAATTTTTTAAAAAATACTTATCATAATAGGCAAAATATTATCATATTATATGATTTTCATATTAAAATAAAATAAAATGAATGATCTCAATCAATATTGCTTTATTTCATATAAAACAATTACTATTTCAATTTCTCACAATTAGAAAGTCTAATGAGCTATTATTTATTAATTTCTAATCAGCTAATATTAAAATAATCATGATTAAATTTTAAATCAGATTTCTTTAAGTAAAATTTATTGAATTATAATTTTAGCCAATAATTCAATTGTGATTTTTTTTGATATTGATTTATCAGAAATCAATAAATAATAGCTCATTAGATCCGTCTAGTTGTGAGAAATTTAATTCATAAAAGGTGAAGCAATATTGACTAAGGTTATTTATTTTTTATTTCTTTAATTTTTTTAATATGAAAAATTCATTTATATGTTTTTTTTACAAATATAAATTAATCTATAAATAATTCATTTGATTTTAAATTTGTTAATTATATAATAAAAGTTTTTATAAAATTATAAGATAAGATTACATATAAATTTAAAAAGATAACTAAAATTTTGATAAATAAAGGAAATTTTGGAGTAAAGTAAGATTACTTATAAAAGTTGATTTTTGCTTGGTAATATATCTTAGTAGTAGGCAAATTCTAGTGTAAAAAAAAGTTGATTATATTCAAAAGGTATATTTAGAAATGAATTTAAGTTTTAATTAATTAAAATATTATATTCAAATTATAAAGTTAATTAAATTTTAAGGAATAACAGTTTTCGTTTCTTAGTGTTAATATAATTATTTTGAATTCTAAATTTTATTATCATTTATACATTATGGTTATAGAGCATGAACAATATCAGCTTTGCCAAAGATGATTGAAACTGAATTAATTGAAAATGTCCAATTGTATTTGGACATTGATGGTCCAATACCTTTTTGGACAATGTCCTATTTATTGTCAAATATACCCCGTAAATATACATTATGTACTTTATATTTTATTTTCCATTTTAAAAATACTAGTATGGCATATAGGCATCACGCCAACGACTGTTTCTGTATTATGCGATAATATTTATTATTTTTTTAATTATTTTAGAAATATAGCTTAATGATAATAAATTTGCAGTATAAACTATAAAGTAATTTGCTTAATAAATAAATTTGAAACTAATTAATATTGGAATCAATTATAAGTCCAATAGTCCAAAAAGCCATCACTGGCTATTGAGGCATCAATATTAAGATACAAAAAGATTTAAAAAGAACTCAGACTTAAAATAAAAATTTTATTATTTAACTACGATATTAAATTCATTGACAAAAATTGCTAAAATGAAAATTATATATTTTTATTTCTATCTATTTACAAATATTAGCCACTAGACGAGAAATTTACAGTATAATTTCCATTAATAATATTCTATCTTTATTTAATCAATGCCGTTTAGATTTGTAATTCCATGTTCGATGAATCCAGATTAGTCAATTTTGTTCCAGAAGAAAGATTTGATCAGGAAATAATGTATCTTCATCATTTTCATCATGATTCATAAAGGACTCATGATAGGGAATTGGATTTTGGGGTCTTAAGATTGGAGATGATATTCCTATTGATCTCGCAAAAGTTAGACATAAGAGAAAAAAGATAACAATTTTTTTAGTAATTTACGAACCTCGATTAAATTTCTTTCTGACATTATTGTAATTCATCCAAACCTGAGAAGGTACACAAGCAGGTGAAGATAAACTGACATCATCATTTTGACACTTTAAAGATGTGTATAAATATTGTGAATTAGAAATTATTTCTTTTAATTCTGCGACAGCATCTACAATCAGCGTTTGTTCACTTTTTCGATAACTACATTACAATTCATGCCTTGGTTAATAAATTTTAATAAAGTGGAGTAGTAGATGATGATCGATGGGTTACCTGTTTTCAACATCATACTCGAGTAAATCGTTTATGCCTAATTCCATTTCCTGTTTTCGAGGTTCTATATGTGGTAGAACCTTATTTTGCTGAGCAATAATCTGGTTTCTTATGCCTGAACCTTTTAGTCCTGAAGAAGTCATTTCAGACAAATTAACTTCATCCAAAGTATTCCGTAAGGTTGTAGCATCTATATTGACTTGAGAGACTTTCAAACATTCCGTATCTTTGCAACGCAAAGAACTCGTATTTTGTAAAGTATTATTTGTATTTTGTTCATAAGGATTATTGAATCTTCTACGTAAAATATTGGTATCTTCGAACATGATTGGTTTTTCGCAACGTGAATTTAAAGTTATATATGGAACTATACACATGAAAACTATGCTTATTTATTATGTAAAAGGTTATTTTTTTTAACAAAGGTACATATTCAGAGTCGATTAAATTTTATTATTATTATTATTTTTATTATTTTTTTTTTTTTTGTTTTGAAAGAAATTCGAAAGTAAATGTTCGTATTTATGACGTAAATTATGAGATCACATTTCATGACAATGACTTTTATAATAATAATACAGTTGTTTTGATTAAAAAAAAATTTATCGCCAAAATATTTTAAAATCGGCGCGGCAGATTTTTTAACTATAATTTACGCGAAATGTACACACAACATATCAAGTAACTGCTCACGGATATAAATGAAATAGTCATTTTTACATTTCTCCTTTCAACTTTACAAATTTCGCGTCGAATTATTATGATCACATGATGTATTAACGTCTTACATAAACAAATTCTCCCATGACGCATTTAATTCAAAAATTCGTTATTCATCAAAATTTAACAAAGGTAAACTATTAGTTCTACGTCTAGAACTCTTTGAAATAGATCCATTAGCTGCTGGATTATTTACGTTATCAATTCCCAACGAAGAATTTCTCGATCTTCTCGAATATTTAGACTTCCTTATTGTATCATCGCTGATATCATTATCTCTTTCATTAACAGGAGGGGGTTCGATAATTTGAATCATTGAAGGTGAACTCGAGGATCCGTTTCGATGGTAATTATAAGAGGAGGTACGAGTTCGTTCTTTATCATTTGAATTATCAACCAAAGAAGTTTTTACTCTTTCCATGAGAGAATTTTCGTAATCTTGTTCATTTACATTTAAATCATCTTCAAGAGGAGGTAGTTGTTCTAACTCTTCATAATCTCTTCGTTTCTTTCGAAATTTTCGTTTAACCAATTTCAATTGATCTATAAAATACGTATCTAAATAATACTCTTTAACAGTGCCTATTATTAAAATCCGTAAAAAAAAAAGTTTAGCATTAATTTTACATTTATTAAAAAACAAACAAAAAAAAATCCTTACCTCTATTATTTGAAATCTTTCTTCTATTGATGAATCTGGAGGCATTCGTCTGATTTTTTTCACCAAAAGGGATGCCGGCACTTGAAACATAACGATTTGCGAGATTTCTTTGAAAGCTTCTTCTACAAGGCCAACAAATAAGGATAGTTTTTTGAGCCACACCCAAGGAGATAACTTTGGATTTCCAAATAAATAAAAGAAATTCCTGCACAAGCTGTATAAAAACCACCAAAATTTAAAATATTTCCCGCAACTTGATAATTGTAAAGGAAAGTGGAAATTTTAAATAAATTAATAATAATAATAACATCTCCCTGTAGACCGATAGTTTTGTTGTTCATATCTGGTTGAATTTGATTACCTTTAATCCCAACAACGTTCTTATTCTTTTGTGGCAAATCAGGAAAATTTGTTTCATACCAATCAATTTAAAATGTTGGTATATGTTGAATAATCAAAAAAAAACCGATTAAATTCCAAAACAAATCTAGATAAGAATTTAATATAGTGAAAGAATAAGAATATTCTAATAACAACCTGTCAGATAAACCTTTGGAACCGATAATTGATATACTGAATTATTAATGAGATTTTTCATATACATTTTATCTGCTAAACTAAATTCTCGATAGTTAGAAATGTAGCTGCCGTGAAATTTTGACTTGATTCATCAGAAGATTCAAATGTAACTTCTTCAAATGAAGTATCAATATTATCAATTGTAAACCACATGGTATTATAAGAAATTCCCATTCTTGATTCTTGATGGAAATTATAACATGAACAAGTCGATATTTCATTCGGTGTTTGGCATTCACATTATAAAGGATTTAATGTTTGTGTGCTCAACATATCTCGATAAGATATTCGTCGCCTTTCTAAACAAAACCTTACTTCTGGAAAAACATGGAATTTTTTTTCTTCAAATATCAACACTCCTGGGATTTTGATTTTCGTGTAAAAAATCGACAAATTGTAAAAATGTTTAGAATATAATTAATATTAAACCAACGGTCCTCTTATAACTTTGAACCAAAATGGTTCAATGGTTTTTTTGTTTTAAAAATTGAATCCAACACAAACATGATTGAGTTGTTTAGAGCAAATCTGGATAATTCATTAAAAAAATCTTTTTGGTGAAAATTTATATTTATATAATGTTTTTATTCTTGAATTCGATTGTAATCATAGATTATTCCGGACCGATTGTTATTCTTATCCCATTCGTCATTTTGTCTGCCGGTTTTATTGTAAGCTCGATATCTTTAAAAAAAATTTTTTCCTTCATAAACTAATCCTTCATATATACACGGATAAAATAGTTTAGAGCGCGAACACTGATACGTGCGATATTATTTTGTATCTTAACAACTATACCCATATGGTTTTTTATTTTAAATTTGATATTTGAATGATTATTGCGTAAAAAAGCCCAAAAATATTTCTTATAACTTTTGTGTTAATTCTTATCAAAGTAAGTTGGTTCAGTTGATAAAGTTCGTTTTTATTTTTTTTTTTTTGGTATTTAGAAATTGCATTGAAGAATAATAATGATAGTATAGAGAGAACAACTAAATATGATATTGCTGTTTTAATTATTTTATGTATTTTTCAAATTATGTTTGTTTATCGTGATTTTATTATGGCATAAGAGGTAGGGTAGGCTAAATAAACAAAAGATAAATATATAAGAATAAAAAAAAAAAAAAAGATTAATTCAATGCATTTGTTTCTTTTTAACGTGTATAATATCTTAATTTGTTCCGTAGCTTGCATCCTCACTTTTTAATGAGAATACATCATCGCTGTTATTGCAGCACCAATACAACCACCATTTTTAATTCCAACTAATTTTACTTTTTTATCTTCTTTGACGTCTTGTATTTCTCTAAGAGTCTTGCCCATCCAAAAAGAATATTTGTTAAAATGATGATAAACTGATCCATCAACCGCTATTCTAACCTCTCTTTCTATCTCTTTAATATCCCCACATTGAAATTTAATTAAAGATGCAGCAACTGCTGACGATAATTGCGCTGACCTATGCGAAAACCTTTTCACCAATTCTCTAACTTTAAGCGTGTCCTCAGTTGACAATTTATCCTTGGGTAATGAAAAGTCTTCCGTTAATACTTTTAAAAGGTTTTCTGGATTAGAAGATCGATCACTGCGTTAAAAAATAAAATTAATACATTTGTTAATTAAAGATCATATAATATAATAAATATGTTTTTTTTTTCGGTCATACCTTTCAATGTTTGACATTTGAACAGCGGTGAAACTATAAGGAACTTCCATTCCTCCGGGTAACTCTCCACAAAATAAATTAAAATTTTTAACGTAATCAACGATAGCCAACCTAACTAATTCACCCAAATAAAGTCCGCTAACCATTTTTTCCAACTGTTGAAACCCTGGAGTAGAACTTTGTGAATCAAGAATTTTGTCATATTTTGTTCTTGGTAAAAAGTCTGAACCCATCAAACTTATTTCAGTATTAACTATCATGTATTGAGGGAAATTTGGTTGAAACACGTGTTTCTTGATCTCAGTAGATTCGACAATACACGCCGCATTTGTTCCCGTTCCCACAATAATCGACACAATTGTATTTTGATCTTTATAAGCATGTGCCACAAGTGTTCCAACTGTGTCATTAACAATGGCTGAAATATTTACTTTTATCTCCTAGGTATATATATATATATATTACATGTGAATTTTTATGATTTTGGGTTTTTTTTTTTTTAAAAAAAAAACAAAAAAGAAAAAGAGTAATAATACTGACTTGACGATCGAAAGCAGTTCGTAAGAGTTCAACTACATCGTGACCTTCCAAGCCGGAAATTTTGAATGACTTACCCATCTTCATCACTCTACCTTTATCGATATTAGTTTGCCTTTAAAAAAATTTCAAAAATGAAAAATTTCAATAAATTTTATAATAAATTACTTGAATTACGTTGTCGGGATAGATTTTGATTCAATTCGATTCGAATTGAATTGATTTTTTTTATTTGAGAATTCGATACTTACTTGATCGGAAAACTAAACGTGACACCCATGTACATTTCTTTATCAGCATATTTGGCTTTAATTCCAGCCGAATCCAATAAATTTTTAGTACCATCAGCAATCCAATTAAATAAAGATTCAGCATCACCGGTTTTTAACTCTTCAGGTATAAGATACTGCTTTTGTTCAATATCAGTTTTTCCATCACCAAGTAAAGTAACAGCTGCCACGCGTAAATTGGTCCCACCCATGTCCAAGGCAAGATATGTACCAGTTTCCATACCAGTTGGCAACCGACAAACAAAAGAAGGGATCATTGTATTCTCATCCTTATCAAGACCATGGCGGAACGACCGTAAAAAACCATTTATTATATCCTCTAATTCTCTCTTTCCAAAAACTGTTTGCTTTTCGAGTTCGGCTAAACTTAGTGCTGGTTCATTCATGATAATTTCTAAACAATAAACAAAAAAAAATTTTTTTTCTATGTAATTAGATATGTAAGAAAAGGCAAATAATTAAATTATTAAAAAAGTCTAAGCACAGTCCCTGAATAAATATATATTTATAATAGTTCTAATTTAAATTACGATTAAAATGATAAATCTTCCGATTTTTCGGGAAAAAAAAAAAAAAAATGCTATACAATCAAAAAGATCTTCACATGATATAAGTTATGTGTCACACATGTTTTAGTGTAATAAAACTATAAAAGAAAAAGATAATACGATAATCAGTAACGATTGTTATCCAAAAAGGAAATTTAATTTCAGTTCTAAAAAAAAAAAAAATTCCTTGAAGGATAGATAAAATATTAAAAAGTTGGGGATTTACATTACAGTTTAATAATAGATAATTTTCCGAATTTTTATTTGTTCTATTTTTTTTATTGTATCGGATAGATCATTACCTTATTTCTTTACTTGGATCATCCAAAGTAATGGGTTATTAGATCATACATAAGTTCCGTCATAGTACATTATGTAAGGGTTAGGGGGTTTTGGGCGTAATACTTCCAACGTCATGCGGAGAAAAAGTTACGTTATCGATGATGAAATGCGCGTATCCATTTCTATATTAAAGCTCTGTTTTCCCATTTATTCTAACAATCTAAAACCAACGAATGCAATTTCGTCAATCAAAATCGTATAATTAAAGGTAGCTTTATTCTGCACTGCGCAAAGATGGATCAAGGCACGAGGCTTTTTAACGGGATGCCGGATTTGTAATAAGACTTTCTTATAATAAATTTATTGAACACAACAGCTACATGAAAAGCCCCAATAGCCTAATGGATATGGCGTCGCCCTCCTAAGGCGGAGGTTCTAGGTTCGAGTCCTAGTTGGGGCGAAACTTATGTCAATTAAGATAACGCACTATTTTTTTCTTTTTTATTCTTTATTAAACGGTGGTAAAAAAAATTCTTTAAATAATTTAACAAGAGGAAAAATAAACGTTTTGACTGTGTGATTATATTTAAATAAATTAATTTAATTTTCAACGAACAAATTTCGGACAAAATGTTTCACATGTGAACCTTTTCTTTACGAATAATGCTAATAATTAGTGGAAAGTCAACTTTCCAAACCATTTCACCTCCCCTCATACATCTCGTCAACCCAAATCTTTTCTTTTCATTCATTCCAACAGGAGTCAATGCAGCTTCTTTAAGTTGCCTTAAAACATTATCCAACAATTTAGTATCAAATCTTCTTTCGTTAACATTGGATAATTGACCAGTTAATAAGAGGACGGCCATATCGGCTAAAGATCTTGCGTAAAATGAGCTGGGTAACCTATATGAATTAAATCTTGGCATGGTCTTAACTTTACGTTTATGAATCCCCAAAGATGTTGCATCATCACTATCATCATCAACTTCACATTCATTCAATTCTAAAGAGTGAAGGTGATCAATAATTTCTCCTTCAAATAATAATGAATTCCTTGAAGAAATTATTTGTTGAGCCTTTTGAAAAATTTCTTTATCATCAAAGTTAAGCGAACCAATAATATTGAAATGCGCAAAGTAAATCGTACCACCTGGTTTCAAAAGTGAATAGAGAAATTGTGAAAAGGAGATGATGTCGTTTGATGGATCAATTTTTGGAGAACTTATATCGATCCTTTTTAAATATTATATAATGGAACGAGTTAACGGAAAAAAGAAAAAGTTGTGTTCTGTGTTAATATTTAAATAATTTTCCTTTTCAAGGAAATAATTAAGCTAAAAGAAACCAAATAATGATAATGCAAATTGAAGATCTTTTTTATAAAAAAACTTTCAAAAAAACATAAATACGTACAGGTAATTAATAACGTGTAGACCATTAATAAAGTCCAAGGGCGTAAGGGGCAAAGGCGTCTCAAAATCGTCAAAATGATGATGGTTAACAAGGTAATCTTGTACCCTACCATTATAGACAATCCCTTGGTTCAGGTGAGGAAACTCGCATATCTTTTGTTGATAAGCTTTTAATAAAATTAAATTTGGTTCAACTACATGTATAATATTTTGCCTATTTAATTGAATATTCTTTTCAAGTTCTTTGGCAAGACACCAATCGATGATTTCACCCGAGCTCGCCCCGATATCTAATAGATGAAACTCGGGTGAATCCTTTGTATTAAATAACTCGGTTTGTAATGCTTCGTGAAGGGTTGGAAGCATGAGTTCACACGAGTCTGTCCCTAATATATCGGATGCAGAATGAAGACTTGCGACATTTCGTTTTGGCAACATCATCCGTTGACTAAATATGTGTTCATATACTTGAGAATTTGTCAGATTCGCGAATTCGGCGAGAACTTTGTGTTCCGCACTCAGTTCATCCGGAGATAAAGCCGCAATTGAGTCACCAAGTATATCCATATTTTTTTTTTTTAAAAAATTTTTTTTTTTACTATTTTTTGAATGAAGTTAAAAGAAATTTATTTTTTGTCAAATTCATTTTTTTTTTAAATTTATTATTTTCTCACATCTGACCAAATCGGACTAGTAGTAAAACAAAATAGATCACGCGAGTATATATGGTAATAATTACATAACTATCATATTCCTGTTCCGAGCATTTCTTTTGGTTAGTTTGGTCATGTGATTCAATGATCTACATCATGTATCTTCATTTTGTCGGGACAATAGGATTACTTGTTTAAGGTCACGAGAGACTTCAGTGTTTACATTCACGCCACAATAAAGTGTCATCCAAAGACAGTTCCTCTAGTTACATAGTTTGGAAAATAAAAGCTTCATATTATTTTCATGTATGACTTTAACGATAATATCAATGAAGTTTTGTTTCACAATTTGGTAGGATTCTTCCAAAATTAGTGATCAAAGAAATCTATTTGTTACCCGATGTGGAAATTTCATTTTAATTGGCGCAGTAAACCCTCGTATTAATTTCCAGTAAATAATGATCAAACTCATTTTGATAACAACCATTTCAAAATGATGCGAAATACGAACGACGTTATAAAATAGGATTATCCGTAAATTTTGGTTAGCTGCATTTTTTTAATCTTATATTCTCGCATAACTTAATTTGATACGTAAACAAATATGTAAATGTTTTATAAGTAAAAAAAAAATCGCCCCATGTTATCTCAAAAATTGACAGTTAAAAGATACATACTAAGAATTAATGACCCTTGATCAGAAGTTTTCCCGAAATTAAATTTACCTTTGTACTACATAAAAATTATTTCACGTTCATCAAAAAGTTCAAAAAGTATATAAAGAATCATAATTTTATTTCTTCAAAAAATCATACAATCGTTAATTAAAGTACTTTCAATTTTTTTTAAAAAAAAAGAGTCCTTATTATTACATTCTTTTTCAAAATAGTTAAAAGTGTTCTGGACGTATAAAAATTTTACCACGTGACTTAAATGATTCTTGATAATATGGAGTTGCATGTTAACCATTGAATGCTCTATCACAAAGACCATTTAAAGGTGCGGATATAAGCAATTGAAATTCCTCATCGAATAAACCAATTTAGGATTTATCATTTGATTTCCTTCTCATATAGAATATAGCATTGTGTCGAGCGGTTTATGAGATCCAAAAGTGAAACAGGTAATTTTTCATTTTCATCTAATCATTTCTTCCATGTCGAATAATAATTTGTAGATTCCTCACATTTCCATAGTATTCAGGATATATAAAAAATCAATCCGAAAACATATATATATAATGGTTCTTTGATTCAAGAATAAAGCCTAAAAGGTCTCCGTGGTTAAATGAAGGTCCGGGCTGTTCTTCAATGATTGTTTATTTCAAGAATGGGCCCTTGCAGATCTTTAAAAGTTCATCCTGAAAGTTGGAATGAAGTTTCTAATTTATTATTCGTTGACCATCTATTTCAATGGAAAGAAAATTTCCAAATATTTAACTTCATGTTAATTTTTTCTTTTATTTATAAGCTGGTTGGAACAGGATTTTCATTTGGTTATCGTCCACAAACAAGCTTCTGAAGATTTGTACGCGTTTTTACAAAAATAAGAATTAGAATTTCAGAAAATTCTCGAGAACATTACTGTGAGTTTTGAATTTGTTGATTCTCTACGTGAATCTATGAAACTAATTAAGTACCATTATATCATACTACCACGTGTTATAAAGTTCCTTCCATCGCGAAATTAATTGATGTGAATAATAATTTAATCCATTCGAAAAAGGCAATTCCAATTAATCTTAAATCCATCGGAATTGGAAATGGCTGGATCCAACACATCCTAGAATCCGATAGTAATGTTTTTTTTATATTGTTATTTTATTAATGTCTGAATTGAAATTATTAATGCATGGTTCGAAATCTGATAATATTCCTTAATATCATTAGTGAATTTTATTTCCAGATTTCGCAGAGTTTAACTCTTGTAAATTAAAAACTTTTTTAGTGATTATTTTTTTTTGACATTAGATGTAATATTAACGTGAATTACTTTCATTAATTCAATGTAAAACTTTAAGATGGACCCGTATTAAATTCAAGCATCCTTGCGACAATGCGATCGGAATTCCTGAATGCGCGCGATCTTTTTCTATCAAAGGATTACTTTTTATTATTTGACAAGAAAACTAAATATGGGCGACCAAATTCAATAAATATTACGAGAAGGAAAAAGAAAAGTTGGATATATCAGATAAAAAGGAACGTAAATGTTGATTGAAATGGTAACCATTACTACAAATGAGAGAACATTTTCTTTCTACTTTTAAATTGATATCAAATCGCATAATCTTTATTTTAGTTAAAAACGAAAATACAAATATGAAAATGAAGTATTTGTGCATTATTTATTTGGTTAATAATAGCTTTTCATTCATTCGTGTCATTCGTGTGTATAAGTAATATTATCGATAAAAACGTGATATGCAAATCACATGAAAATTCTTCAAAAATAAAATCAGGCATGTAAAAAAACCTATCAAGCCCAGCAATATTAATCAAATATTATCATGTTCAAAGAAAGTTCATTCCAGTAAGCTGCAGGGGATTACACCTTTATAAAAAGTTAAATACGGAATTAGCATATAAAGTTGATCCTAGTTTAACAAGTTTTACGCACATTTTTACCAAGCCATTTTCGTTTCCTCGTAAAAGATAAGTTTCTTTTGCTTATTTGTTCTTTATAAAGGAAGTAATTTGGGTCAACTAACATGATTTCCAAACCATACAGACCTAAGGAAGCGTTACTAGCGTTAAATTACAATATCAGGACAACAATCGCGGATGAAAATCACTCGTTTTTAGGTTGGAAATGTGGGTATTCAGATGGATTTTATGTAAAATTCAAAAAATCTTTTTTTTTTATAATAAAATAAGATTCATAATTTTTATTTTAATAAAAGTTTAATTAAAGGTTTTTAATTATTTTATATTTGAATTTTCTTTAGTATTTATCATATAATTATGTTTTTTTTAGTATAATTATAGGAAATATGTATTTTTTTTTTTACTTTACAAAATCAAGACATTTTTATTCTAATTTTGGTTCGTGATGGCTCCAATAATCTCTAATTTTCTTTCTATCCCATCCATTCTAATGTTGTTTTAATATTACCAATATTTGTTCTATTTCTTCATTAGTAGGAGAATTTGCTGTCATCCAACTTTGAAGGATTTCTTTTCAGATTGTGATGATATGACACATGATTTTTACTTTCTTTATTGGTGATAAACTCTCTTGAATATTTGGATTATCTTCTACACCTGAGTTTATAGTTTGTTCTTCATTGAAGTTAATTATCTGTAAATTGAAACTTTTATTTGATTTATTAATAATAGGATTATTTCTTTTTGTAGAAGATTCAGCTTGTAAGTTAATTTCTTTTAACTGTTACTTTTATTTCTTTTTCAGCTTTTTTAAAATCTTTAACTTTGCTAATTATAACTTCTTTTGCTCTTCTTTCTTTAGTATTTATTGATTCAATTTTTAATACTTTTTGGTAATAAATTGCTTTTAATCTTCTAATTCTACATTATATTCAATTAATTTTTGATATCCTTCCAAATGCATTTGATTACAATTTTTAAATAATTGATGTTTTATCAGTTCTATAGATTCAAATGCTTCTATAAATATATTTATTAAATTCATCAGAGCTTCTTTTCTTTGATCAACTAAATGTTTTCCTTCAGTTGTTATATGATCATCAATAAACTCATTAAATAATAAATCTATCCTTTCTCTTTCAATTTATAAGCTTTTTATTTGATCTTTTAAATTATTTTTATTAATTATATTTTCTGTAATATTTTCTTTAATAAATTTTATTTTAGTACTTCATCAAAAGCATAATAATATTTATCACATATAAAATTAACAGATCTATTATACCAAAGTAATTCTTTTATTTTTGGATATTTTTTAATAAAACAAGAAATTGAACATTTGATTTAATGTAATTTAATTTTTCAGTTGCTGGAAATAAAGGTGCAAATGCTACTAAAGATTTAAGATGTATTTGTATTTTCTGTACATATTTCTGCTTAATGTAATTTTCACTAACCATTCCATTTATAAAAATATATCATATGGATTATGATCTAAGAAAATCAAGTTCTGAGAATTTTTTATCAAAATTCAGATTTTAATTGTATTTTATTTTTTATTATATTTAGACTAAAATGTAATAAGATATTAATTTTAATCAAAAATTTCTCAGAATTTGATTTTCTTAGATCACAACCCATATTTTAAGTAAACTATTTGTTTCATAATTAAAAATAATATTGATTTTGATACAATATATTTTTATTAAATAATTAATAATTATCCATATTAATTTAATATACAATAAGTTAATCTATAATTAATAACTAATTCTAATTTATCAAAAAATTTTACACCTAAAATAGCTACTAAATTATAAATACTATAACTTGAAAATAAATTTAATAGAACACTATATATATCTTTAAAAATATGTTATTATCTTAATAAAAATTTAATATTTTATTTATTCTTCATAGTGAATTTGATATTTCTAAAATATTTTGTTGTTAATATATATTCTTTATATTTGTTTTTATCATATTTGCAAAATTTTGTTTTAATTGTATACATTTTTTCTTGGTATTAAAGTATTATTAAAAGTTTTAAAATTAATATAATATAACTTAAATATTGTATTAATTACAAATAAACTTGATGCTATCAGACTATTATTATTATTATTTTCTTTACAATCAAAGATTTATAAAACTGGTATAATTGATTTTAAAACTTTTCTTACATTTAAATATTATCAGATTTATCAGATTTAGCAACTATAGATATTTATTTACTTATAAGTTCTAATGATATAGCTAAATTTTTTTTTTTTTTAATTATTAGATTTATAATTTATTGTTTTATTTTTTCATCCAGATCTAATAAATATATATTCACCATTTTTTTCATAACAATTATAACAAATATATTTTAAATGATTATTTGATTGTGATATAGAAATTATTAGATCAAATTTTTGTAATACATTATAATTTTTTTTATCTAATATATGAAATTTATATATTATTTCTATAAAATTCTGTGAATGCTCAGTATTAATTTTGATAAATTTTTAATTTTTAATACCAAATAAATGCAACTTATTTTGATTAAACATAAAAATGATTATAAATAAACTTCAAGTTTTTCTAAATCATTACCTATTACTTCAATTAATTACTTATTTAGTTACTACATTCAAACTAATTGTCATAACCATAAGAATTCTCTGAATTTTTATAACATTATGATTGTCTAATTATTATATTTATTATTATAAATAATGATAAATTTTTGTTTTTGTTTGATTTATATTTATATCTACTTCTGATTCTATAATTTTTGTAAATCTATCAGAATTTTATTTTAAAAATTCTTCAGTATTACTACTATTTACATTATTTTAACTATTTATTTAATACAAAAGTAAATACTTTATTTATTGCATTATTATCATATAGAAAAGTAAAACCTTTTTTTAATTTAAGTATACTATCAAAAAATTCATTATTTACATCATTTACATGATAATTTATTTGATTTCTAAAATATTTTAATTCATTTTTATTTTTAAAAAAATGTGTGAAAAATAATAAGTGCAAAAAATCAAAATTTGTAATTTAAATATTGTTTTATATTTATTCAAATTTAAAAATTTTTTAAATATATGATCAATCAAATCTATTACATTATAAAAAAAAAATTGTATATAGTAGTATAGATAACTAAAATTATAAATTATTCTATATTATTTAAGAATTTATTACTGTCAAGTATATAAAAAAAATATAATATTATTTCATAAAATTCAAGTAAAAAATTGAATCTGTAATATCAAATAAAAGGTATCGTAACAATTTCAGAATAATATATTTAAAAAGCAATTTAAAAAAGATATATAATTAAAAAATTATTCTATAGACATACTATTCAAGAATTTTTAAAAAAATTTCTAAGCTTTTTATTATAAGCTTTATTAAATATAATTATTCTTTAAAAGATTTATCAAATTTATAATAATGATAAGCTTATAATTATATATGAAGTTGAAATGAATCATTTCAGATATCTGAAATAGTTGAAATAGTCGAAATCATTTTTATTTTTGATACTTTTACTAGGCACGCACAAGTGGTAATATATTTGGATGCATACCCTTCAACAGAATGATACGACTTACAACACGTCTAATTCTACTATTAATCTCCCTTTGCTATATTTCAAACCAGTGTGGATTGGTGTTAAACCTAGGTAAATGAGTGTCAATATCCGAATAGACTACCAAACTAATGAACCCTCAGGGTAGAGAGATATGGTACCCAGTCATCATTTACTATTCATCACAACTACTGGAAAGAGAATCAAGTACAACCTAAAATGATAGCTTATACCATAGTTGCCTTACCATACGTCAAAATCACCCCAAGAATCGAACTCAGGCCTCTAACCCTAGTTGTAATATAGACACCACGATGGTTGAAGATAGTGCAATATCAAACACCTATAACCTACGACTATTGTTCAATCTAAGTTATACAGTGCTTACCATTGATCTACCCTCACGAGTACCCTTTGCAGATGATACGGTACTTGTTCATTACAAACCAATCCCCACTATCAGTTCCAAACTCAATTGGTTCACAATAGGTGAAAATATTTATTACCACTACCTGTTGTCAGGATGGTATGGATCTAGACGAAGCGAACTTACACTATATTGGTGGTAGCTACCATCACACCTTATAGACATCTCAGGTTATCATATTCTACAAATTCATGATCTTCAACGTACATGATTTGTACGCATCCTATAAAATTCATTTCCGGAATCGAAGCGGTAAATCCTGTAAATTAAATTATTATGATTTGCCTTAACCAGGGGCTGAACTAGGGTATATTATAGTATAACCTACAATAGGTCTCATTTGTTACTAACTGAGATCAGTGTTGGCAAATGATCTTGAAATGATCTTGAGATGACCTCAAATAACCTCAAATGACCTCACTTTTATTATAAATTTCAAGTCAAAATGACCAAGATCATTTAAAAAAAAAGTAAATGACCTTGAAATTTGTCATCACTGACTGAGATAGGGTGGCGAGACCCTCAAAATTCTCATTTTGAAAATAAAGTAAGTAAATCAGAAATGGCTTTATTGATAAAAATTTACCTTTTACTTTTCATATTTTTTGTTTTTTTAGAAAAATTCTCATTTAGAAATTAATGTAAGTAAATCGAAAGCACTTTTTAAAAGAAATTATTTTTTCGAAACTAATATAAGCCCTTTGAAGGTATCTTTAGGATGGTTTTTAATCTTTTTTTCTTTGATTTTCTTTGTTTTTTTAGGGAAGTTATCTTTTTGAAACTAAGGTAAGCCTTTCTGAGATGATATTTTGATGCTTTTTTTCTTACTTTCTTTAGGAATATATTAAGGTAAGTAAATCAGATGTGATTTTTTTGGTTTTTTATCTGCTTTCTTTATTTTTTTAGGAATACACTAAGTTAAGAAAATCAGAGGTGGTTATTTTGGTTTTTTTATCTGTTTTCTTTATTTTTTCTTTACTTTCTTTAGGAATAAATTAAGATAAATAAATTAGAGATGACTTTTTGGTGGATTTTTTATTATTTTCCTTTCTTTTTTCTTGTTATTTTAGGAAAATTCACATTTGAAATTAAAATAAGTAAAATAAGTAAATCTGAGATGATGTTTTAGATGAAAATTTACTATTTTCCTTTCTTTTTTCTTTATTTTTTTTTAGGAAATTATCATCTTGATAAGTAAATCAAAGGTGATTGGGTGAAAATTTATCATTTTTCTTTTTTTTTTTTTTTTTTTTTTTTAGGAAATTATCACCTTAGTAAGTAAATCAGAGGTGACTTTTGGGATGGAAATTTATTATTTTCCTTTCTTTTTTCTTTTTTTTTTTTTTTGGAAATTATCATCTTATTAAGTAAATTGGAAGTGACTTTTTGGGTGGATTTTTTACTATTTTCCTTTCTTATTTCTTATTATTTTAGAAAATTCATATTTGGAATTAAAACAAGTAAATCTGAAGTGACGTTTTGGATGAAAATTTACTATATTTTTTTCTTTTTTATTTATTTTTTTAGGAAATTATTATTTTGATAAGTAAATTAGAGGTGATTTTTGTTTGAATTTTTTAATATATTTTCTTTATTTTTCTTTATATTCTTTAGGAATATATTATAATAAATTAATCGAAGGTAATTTTAAGAAGGAATTTTTAACTTATTTCTTTATTTTACTTTATTTTTTTATAAATAAATCTTATATAGGTTATATAGGTCAATTGAAATAGACTTTTGAAGTGGATTTTTAATTATTTCTTTATTTTTCTTATTTTTTTTTAAAAAAATCACATTTAATAATTATGTAAAAATAATAAAATTATAAAATTATAAAATCAATAAAATTTAATAAATATAAATTAGTTATTATTAATTCTGATTTACTTGGTTGATTTTAGGCTGATTTAGGTTGATTGATGATCAAATTTAGGTAGTTTTTAGGCCAATTTTAAATAGCCGATTGATAACTGATTGATATTTTTGATTGACTCATATTGTATCAATCAGAATTAATGTACATCAACCCTAAATCAGTCATCAATCATCTATCAATTGTCTATCCAATTTTTAGCCAATTTGTATCTATTTTGACCAGTGCTATCATGGTAGTCATGATGAATCAAGAGGTTGTGATCATCAAAGTGGATTAGAATAATATCAATCTGATATTTCTCAATTTTAGATTTATATTAAAGTAATTTTTTTACCTTTTAATACCACGAGTTATTTTCAACTGCTTAATGCTAGAATCATCATATATTTCAAAAACCACTTTAAGAGGAAGTGTTGTTATCATATTCTAGATCTATTTGAAGATGAAAAGGAAATAAATAATGAAAGGATTAACATAAAAAGAAACAATTAACTATGTTGCAGAAAGATGAAGCTATATAACTGAAGAAACAGTATTGAACTATTGGAAAAAAACTGAAATTTTGCCTTCTTTGTCTGATGAAAATAGAGATGATGCATCACAAATCCAACAAGAAAAAATGGATAATGAGAAAGCTGATATTGATCAAATTATCAAAGAAACTTGATATGGATAATCCTTTAGCTACTTTATTAGCTAATGCAATAACTGATTTTTTCAGAAGTTGAAAGAAATCCCGAGGATATTTTAGATGAAAATGATATTATAAAGAGGAAACATGTGATCAAAATAGTGATTCTGAGAAAGAAATTTTAGTATCTTCTGGTGATGCTCTTAAATCTTTAAAGACCTGGATTTCATTTTTTGAACAGCAGTATACTGATGAATTTAATGTGAAGGATTCAAACCTTTTTAAAAGGTATTTTAAGATAGTTAAACGGCTTGAGCAACAATCTCATCAATTACAGATTATTTTAGTTTTTAATAACATTTATATTGATGTTTTAAACATTTAAAATTACATTTTAACATTTTAATAAATAAATGATTTTGCGAATATACAATTGAACCTCTATATAGTCATTTCACATGATTTTTAATATGATGGTGATTAAATAGAAGTTACCTTTTTGCCAGTCACTCCTCTATAAAATCACGGGAACCGATTAGGTGATTATATGGAGGTCTGACTGTGAATTTTTGTTTCCTGATGCTAGTTGATATCAGTAGAAGGTCTTTTCGAGATTTTTTTTTTTTCGTTCCTTCCCCCTTTTCAAACAGGAGATCAACTTTAATCTGTGAAGCGATATATCCTTGTTCGACCGCTTCACGATACCATTTAAAGGCCAGTCTTAAACTACGAGTTGTTCCTCTACTTTCGTATATCGACCAAGATTATGTAGTGCAAGAAGATGACCAGATTTTGTTGCTTGTAGATACCGAGCCATACGTCAAATCTTTTATTGTTCCTTCACCCTTTTCGTATAATCGACCAAGATTATTGAGCATAGTAAACTACTTAACAGCAAATCCGCTAGCGTCTGCCTTTCGTCTCTTAATAAATTCATCAGCAAATCTTTGGTCACCTAGAGTTGATGAATTAGCATAATCTATCTTGCAATGGTGGCGGGAGGAGGATCAAGTGGGAATGTAAGCAACATCTGAATAAAATCCCGATTAAAGAAAAAATATCAGAATGTTTAAACATTAATTCTATTTATAAATAAATAAATATAAATGAAAAAAAATTTTTGAACCAGAAATTTACCTTCACATAATTCAACCCATGTAAAGTTTAACGACATTTCAAAAATTATTCCGAAGGAGAATGATGTAACAAATGTTCATAAGAACTAATACCGCCGTTGCCTGAAGCCTTTGACAAACTCAAGTTGAAAGAGGTTGCTTTATTACTATTTTTAAGTTTTCTGATGGCTTGATTAATTTACTTTGTGATGTAATGATATTTAATTAATATCAGGAGAAGTTTATTACAAAATAGAACTTTAATGAATAATATAAAATACCTTAAATCATTTATACCAATAATAAAACCATATCCCAATCGAATCTTTTTGCAGGCTTTGATACCACATTTATAGTAGCGTTATTAGATTGAGCACGATTGCTTGACATTCTAGCAACAGTTGTTACCGCAGTATTCATAGAAATAAATTCGGGCTTCTATAAGTTTAATAATATTAATAAAAGTAAAAGAATTTCTTTTTATACAAAGTTTGATGCTTACCTTTGCTTTATTTCCTGTACTACTGTATCTGCATAGCGTTTCTCATACTATTTTGTGGCAGATGATCCAGCTCTATAATTAGATCGAAGTAAAACTTGTTAAGCATTTCACGTATCCTATTATGCTTCCTCTTTTTTCTTTCTGAATTTCTCTAAAGCGTTTTTTTTTTTAGGAGCAGAATTGTTAAACTGCCATGCTAGTGTACTAACTACAGGAGAAGTAGAAAGGAGAAGACGAGCAAAATTTGGGCCAATGATTCCGTAAGAAGAATTTGAGGGTGTTGATTCTTCCTTTGAAATCATACGGAATGAGTAGTAACCGTAGACGCAGCAGCTTTCGTTCAGCGGTTTCATTTCTTGAATTTCACGTAGTGAAGAAGATGAGTATCATCTTTGCCCACGGAGTTGATGAATGTAGGACGGGACTATTATTTCCCCATGATAATCCATTATTCTTAGTTTGACAATAGTTTTATTGGAAGTTTGTTGACTAATGGAAGCCAATTTTACGTTTCCTTGCTTTTGTTTGCGTTGTTCCTATTCAGCCTGAATTCTCGTAGGAGGGTTTTAAACGAAACAATTTTTCCATTTAATAAATTTATTGGTAAAGTTTGTTGAAGGCGTTTCAACTTTTGTTCGATCATAACCTTTTCATCCATTTTTTTGAAGGTATCTCATTTCCGTGGAGAGGAATAGTCATTTCTCTAGCCTACTACTTCAGCATTACATCTCCGAATAAGATCCTTTTCAGCCAAATCAAGGCTTGAATATAATTAACTAAATTACCAAAATTTTTTCTATTTTTGTTTAATTTTATTTTCTGAAATCAGAGTGTTTTACTATTTTGAAATCAAAAATAAATTAACAATATGATCCAAATCCTTAATGGAATAAGCAATCCTTGGCAGCGTTCGTAACTAATAGTTTCTTTAATTATTTGTCATAGATTCAACCACAACATTAATTTTACGATCAATGGACGGATCTTGACTATTTCCATCCATGATTACATATGTGTCGACTAGAAATCTGATGATTTTTGTTATCCAATATTGCTTTCTCATACCGAAATATCCAATCTCATCTGACTGTGCAACACGCGAAGAATTGGATCCGACACCAGGTACTTCACATGGTGATAAGGAAGTTTGTTGTTGTTGATGTTCAGCAGAAGTTGTCGGCCAACCTGCAGATCTCATTAAATCGTCAACAAACGGAGGATTGGGCGCATTTGTAATAGGAACAGATATAGGCCAGATATCCTTTGTTGTTGCCTAATAAAATGTCCGGATAAGCATGTTGACTTTGTTGTAATTGTCTGTTGGAGCATCATATATTTTTAGTGCTCAATCTGGGAAGATATTGGTCATTGATGATCCAGATAACTTTGAGGTGGTGAAACATTGAAGGAAGCTAAATAGAGATGGTGAATTAGGAGCTTGCACACGAGGAGACAAATTCTCGTTGTTAGATGTGAAACCGTCTGTTCTTCTCGTACATAAATTTTTTGAGTTCAGATCTCCCCCACTAGAAACTTTCGCCCAAAAACGCTACCAAACTGATATCTATCAATTGGTGTATTTAGCACCGAGGTCATTCCATCAAAGGATTTAATCGCTGTTGATTATTATCCAAAAACAACTGTTCTGAATTGGAGCAACCCAAGATCTTTGGAATGGATCATTAACCAAACGTGATGAATTATTAGGCATAGAAATAGTTAAAGAAGGTCTTGAACCAGGTAATGGCGCAGAAAAAGGCCTTTTATCATCACCTGTCTTTCGTATCCAAACACCTAAATGTTCAAACTTAGTATATTCAACCCTTTAACTAAAAGACGATGAACAAATAATCCATCCTTATAACATTCATTCATTTCCTAACTATTAAATGGCCCTAAATGGTTTAAAATTAATAAAAAATTAATTTTTTATTATTAATACTGTGTAAACCATCAAACAACTAAAAAATTTTAAATACACCTTGAGTGATACCACTTGGATCACGGCACAACCATTTATATTGCTCCTACAAAACATCATCACCTTGGACTAAGTCAAAACGATAGGTAATAATAGTTGGCGATGTTGCAGTTGCTGTTGATGTAGATGCTGATGCTAATGTTGTTACAGTAATTCTTGTTGATCTTGTAATATATTATTTTTGTTTTTGCTGATGCAAACATAATTGTTGCTGGTGCTGTTGTTGCAATTGTAGCTGAAATTGTAATTGTAAATGTAACTGCAACTGTTCATTTTCTTGTCTTTGTTGTATTTGTAAGTCATTATTGCTTTTCTTGTTTACATGGTTCTATATCCTTATCTTGATGAAGCTACAATCGTTGCAATATTAAATTTTGTTGTTCCAACGGTAATTGTTCATTCTCTTTCTCTAATTCAAGTTCATGATCATTAAAAAAAATAAAAAGTGCTTGCTTATCAACTTGGCAAAATGATCGACGCTATGTGTAACACCAATTGCTACTCCTTCGCTTCGCTCCGGACTAATAAACTTGCTGATACCTCCAACAAAATAAGGAAATCATGCAACCCAGTTGCTCTAATTATTAGATTAATAAAATAAAATAAAAACAGGTTATCAATCCCGAACCTCCATCCGAGTCAAAGTATAAATTTTACATTACCATTCTCCTGACGTTTTCTATTTTTCGCATCCTAGATCCTTTAAAAGGCCTTTTTAGTGAATAAGCAGCCAACCAAAGGACAAGTTTTATTTATAAGAATTATTCTCATAATGTGATGATAATACTTTGAATATAAAAGATCTATTGTGAATTAGTTGAAAAATATATTAGATAATATTTTCTAAGCACAATAATATTAATTAACCCACATTTCTATCCGCTCAAATAGCATGTATTATAATGATCAACCCTTTCTGTAATTAATGAGAATGGGAATGGAAAGCAGTTAGAACATATAAGTGGAATTAAAATTCTAAATAAATAAAATTCAACAATAGGTAAAGGATAGGTAAGACTTTGGATCATAGCTTTTCCAGAGAAAAACATTGAAAGTGACTAACTATTAGAAGGAATCCTTACATGGAAGGAAAAAACTTCTAGAGGACGGATTGGCGAACCTAGGACTCTTACACCCAATGTATCAAGAGGTGCCGTAGCTCAATTTATTTTGTACAACCAAAATGCTTTCCCCATTTAAATCAAACCTCGGCTTATACAAATCCTTTCCGCATCATCAAACAAGAGCAGTTTTGAAATCAAAACTAGTCTAGAAGGATGGGCACGAACGGACAGAAAGCACTAAAGAGAAGAATACTGTATTTAATACCACGTTGAAAGAAATTAAGAAAGGATACTTATTTTTAACACCTTTCGGGGTATTCGCTCAACGATCAATAAAACGAATGAATAACCAGTGCTGTCTTTTTTATGATATAGTGATGGGTTCTAACATTAAGTGCCAATATTAAAATATAGAAAAATAAATATACACAACAATTATTTTAACGTATTATATTTTTTATATTTACCCTTTTGTTGACAGATCCAATAAATTTGAAATTTCCGCGCCTATGAATTTAGCGCGAATCCTTAATAGAATTGTCCATTGAATCAGCCTGAACTAAGTATATATAAAATTAAAAGGAGGAAGTATTATTCAAGCAATTCACTAATATCCTGGGGCCTCTGACCATACTAATTATTCAATGGCACCAATAAATAATTTAATCATTACTTTAGTGCAATATAAATAAGATTTAGTATGTACATGGAATGGAAAGAACAAGATGTAAACATGATACCAGAAAAATCGAGAAGACCAAATGGAACATTTTGAATGAAACAATAGTTGATCTTTGAACCGAAGGCGATTTTTACTTGAGTTAGTTCTAGTAATAAAAATGATTTAATCACATATCATTATAAAATTTAACTTTTAAATTAATGATACCTTATTATCAAAATTCTCTATACTTAAAAGTTTATACACGAACCTAACATTTTGTAGAATATATTAGAATGTAATATCGCGTAGAAATTGATTTTCAACAAGTCTCGGGTAAGATAATCCATCGAAAATAAATCCCTTTTTATTCTATGCAAAGTATAGAAAAGAATTCGATTGAGCCACTTTAATCAATAATCCATAAGTTGAATGCTTAAATACATTTTCCCAGAAAAGAACATTTCTTGACACGTATAACATCGATAATATCAGCTGAATTTGAACTTTTGAGTTAAAGCTTGAATAGCAACTTTGATGTAACAAAATGGCCAATATCAAAAAGCATGAAAGTTAATTTTAAAATGGTAAAAGTATTTCATCACTTAATTATTTGGAAATAAATCTTCACCTTTGAGATAGAACATTCACAACTGTCCAAATGCATTAACACAGGGGCAAATGTTTCTCAATATGGAAGGTTTCATCTCACCCAATAAAACAGTATGCCTAAATAAACAATGGAACTTAATAATAAATACTTGATTTCAGTTTAGAAAAAGGTAAATAATATTAAAATAATGCTTATATAAAACAATTATACTTTCAGTGTAAATTATGTAGATAAATCGTCCAATCTTTTTGGAAAGAATATAAATGACGATTGCTCCTCACTTAGTAGACGACCTAATATTTTCTTGCTTTCTAATACAATGACCAATAAAAGTTCAAAGTATTTTGAAGTTCAGAACTTGTTGAATGACCTTTCATTTAAATATAAATTATTTTTTTTATTATTCCCTAATATTTATCACATTGCGTCTTGGTTAATGATCTGGATAAACAACCCGATCTAAAGCACGCGCCATATCAATTAAAAATGTATGTATGTATTAATTTAGTAACTTCACTTAAAATTTTATAAAATTACTATTAGATTATATACCTTTTATTCCAATTGTACTCTTTAAGGTCAAGTTTCGCTAGTTTATATAAACAAATTTAAGCTTTTATTAGATGATGATGATGATCGGGGGGAAGAGGTGGACAAAAGGTGGATGAAGAAGAAGACGAAGGGGTGGACAAATTATGGATTTATCCTTACAAAGAATCTCAAGTTGTCCGTGTTTAATTAATCAATAGAATATAACATTCAATAAATAAATAATTGCTTCATAGAAAATTAAGTACAATTATATTTGAATAAAATTTGTTTTGCAAAAAAACCTTGAGATCATTGAAAACAATAACTTTTCTGTTTTATTAAAACTTCGACCTTTTGATGAAAATTATACCGACCGCCAAACTAGCCTTAAACACCGACACTTTTTCAAAGACTTTTGTTCGTCATGCAGGATTGAATACAATGAATGCAGATAACGGTGAGTCAACCACTATCAAAAAGACTAATTATGACTCTCTCATCTAAACATCTAAATCGCGAATTCTAAAATTTAGTAATCACACCCAAATTGGTAAAATACAAATTATAAAAAGCTATAGTAATAATTTAATTGCTATCCCCAATAGTCACTTCTTTGTAATCTACTTTAAGTATTCTCGTCAATTCGAACGGACTCTTCCAAAGACTTTCGGATATTGTTATCAAGTCAATATGTATGTATTTACATACTCTTTATGAAAAGAAAATTTTGATTAGATTAATACGTGCGTTTATATTTAATTTAATAGCATAAACTGAACATTTTGAGTTGCTGATAGAATATCATCATTACATACCATGACTTGACTTGATAGACCAGCCAAAAGAAAGAGTTCTTTAAGTCTTTAATGTTCGGTATTTGCCCATTATTATCCCATCATCACCACCAAGATCATCACGATTTGCCTCTTCGCCAGATACCACGTCAGGATGTGGGATTATAGTTAGTAACCTTTCAACCAAAAATATTCTGTCATTATCATCGTCTTCCAGTGAGAGAGGAGACAAAATTTTTATATAAATGTCCTTTAAATCTCCTTCCAGGTTTTTTCGTTGGTTTAGCTCAGGAATAATACAAGGTGGTTTCATTTTTATATTATGAACAAGGATGGTATTTAAACACCGGGGAAAAGTTTTTCTTTTACGATGGAAAGTTATACTTGCGTTTTCAATTTTTAACAAATTTGAGGTTTTAAAAAATTCTCAGAACCTAGAATTATGGGGCTTGTTTGTATTAACAGTCGCATGTCAGATCAATTTTATAATTAAAGTTGTCCGTGTAACAGTAATTGCCTCATAGTTAACCGTTACATATACATACAAATTAGGTAATTGATAGAATGTCATAAGTTCTATTCATTTATTTTAATAATTCACCACTTTTAAAATATTTTTTTTTTTTTTGCAATTACAAGAAGTTTCATCCTAAAAAGCTACATTTTTTAAGATCTTAAAAGTTGAAAAAAAAGTATGATTTTGACAGTTAAAATAAATATAATTTTATATGAGGAAAAATAATTTCTTAGGTTGTAAAGGTAATTATTCAAATAGTTTTTGTATAAAATGCAAAAAATTGATGTTTTAGTAAAAAAAACTAAAAAAAAATTGATTTTTAATTTAAAAATGTTTATTGGATAACACTTAATAATAATATATGTTATAATTTAGTAACAAAATAAGTTTTATTAAGGTGAAAAAGGTATAAATTTTAGATTATTCTTAAATTATATTAAAATTTCTTTAATTTTTAATATAAAAAATAATAAAATTTATATATTTATTATAGAAAATGATCAAATAATATTTTTAAATATATTTTAAGTAGTTTTATAATTAACAATTAGTTGAATAATTGCAAATTTGTTTGTTTGCAATATTTTAAAAAAATTTATATTTGGTATTTAAATGTGTTTTTACTCCAAAAATAATGTAATTTTTGTTTGAAATTACAGCTAATTTCATAATTTGTGAACCATTAATAAATTGCGACTGAATGTGACTGAAAAATTATTAATGGTTCATGAATTATGAAATTAGCTATAGTTGAAAAATATTAAATAGACATAAAAAAAGAAGCTTTAAAAAGTTTTGATTATTTATCTAATAAATATATTAAATAATAAATAATTTTTCAACAAAATCTTCTTAAACTAGCACTTTAAAGTTTATAAAAATTTTCACAAGAAATCAACGAATATTTTGATGTAATAACTGTTTAATTTCGTTAGAAATATACATATCACAAAGTCAAAAAAAAACAGTGAAAAATCATATAAAATTTGTCAATCAAATGATACACATCAATATCAATATCATTTGCTATGATTGACATGTGACATGTTTAGTGACTGCTAAGAAAATATAGTAAATGCCTTTGCAGCTTCAGAGACCTTATTTTACTAAGAAATAGTAAAAATGTCTTCATGACTTTGGAGACATTTTTTACTAAGAAACCTAGTAAAAAAATACATTTATGACTTCAGAAACATTTTTTACTAATAAAATAGTTACGAAACTAAGATAATGGTTATTACTAAATTTTCTTAGTAAAACTGAAATTGTATAGTTATTTATTAAGTTTAATAGTAAAAATTCACCTATTACCAAACTTATTTTGTAAAAGTTATCTTTGAAATTTTTTAGTGCAATTACTAATAATTTTCTTAATTAAACCTTTATAATAACTTTATTTTAATATATTATTGTAAAAATTAAAAAATTTTATATTCGATTCAATTTAATTCAATTTAATCAAATATTTGATTTGATTTGATTTGATTTGATTTGACAAATATTTGATTCAATTAGATTTGATTTGATCAAATTCAAATCAATTTAAATTAATTCGATCAAATATTTGAATTCAATTTGATTTGATTTGATTTGATTTGAAAAAATCAAATTAAATTCTAGTTGCTTAAATATTGATTCTATTCTATTTTGAGGAACTCTAATAACTGATGTGAGCCTGATAAATCGATCTATTCACGTCACTTTTTCTGTCTGTAGCTCAAAAATTGATGTGAAAATTTATGAAAATATTCATTATTTTCAAATGAATGAAACTTATTATCATTGCACTCAATTTTCATTACAAAATTTCTTTGCACTTACTGTATACAAAACCTAAGTTTTAATTTTGCCTAAAGATGTTAAAAAGTCCCAAATGACTATAAACAAATATGAAATTACGATTTATAAAAAAGTTTAATCGCTTATCTATAATAAGTAATCCTTGATAAATAATTGTAATAATAAATTTTATGAATAACTTATAAAAGAAATATGAAATTTAGAATTGACAATTAATATGGGACCGCTAACACTATTTGAAATCATTTTATTCGGAATTAATACTATTTGGTTAATGTTCGGTCGATTCAGTCATATGATTTAGCAAAATTCAGCTTGAGTGATAAAATCGATAGTCATTTATTATATCATACATAAATTAACATAATTTTGGCATTAGATCTTTTGTCAAATATTTAGCAGATTCGGTTATGTGATTCAGAAAAAATTCAGCTTAAGTTACAAAAATCGATAGTAATTTGTTATATAACACATAATTTAGTATTATTTCGGCATTAAGACCTTTCAGTTATAATATTCAGCAAAATTTCAGTTAGACTTAAGATTTGATAACAAATCGATTATATCTTACTGATTGAAATCAGCTAAGCTGATTTTTTCGAAAATTATAAAAATATTCTAAGAGTAATCATCTCAAAGAGACGATACATTCATTTCCAAAGGAATGATACAAACGTCCTAAAAGAGACAATAGAAATTATCTCAAAAGGAATAAAATATCATTCCCAAGAGAACGATAGAAATTGTCTCAAAAGAAATGAAATATTGTTTCCAAAGAAACGATAGAAATCATCTCAAAAGAATGATATAATCATCACAAAAGTGATGATAGAAATCATTTCAAAAGGAATGAAATATCGTTTCCAAAGAGATGATAGAAATCGTTTCCAAAGGAATAATTCAATCATTCAAAAGTGATGATTTCTATCATCTCAAAAGGAATGAAATATCATTTCCAAAGAGACGATAGAAATTGTTTCTAAAGGAACGATATATTCATTCTGAAAAAGATGATTTCTATTATACGAAATATCATTTCTAAAGAAGCAATAGAAATGGTCTCTAAAAGAACAATTCAATCATTTCAAAGAGATGATAGAAATTATCCCCAAAGGAATAATTCATCATCATTCTGAATAACGATTTTTGATATTATTCTTAAGAAATAATACTTTATCATTCTAAAAGAACGATGTTTTTTTATCATTCTTTTGGAATGATATATCATCGTTTTGAAAATAATATATCATCATTTCAAAAGAACGATTCTTCATCATTCTTAAGGAATGATACTTCATTGTTCTGAAAGAATTATGATTTTTATCATTCTATTAGAATGATACATTATCATTCTGAAGAATGATCAATTATTGTTTCGAAAGAATGATTTTTTCATCATTTTTAAGGAACAATATTTTATCATTATGAAAGAATGATAATTTTTTATCATTCTATTAGAACGATACTTTATCGTTCTTAAGAAATGATACTTAATTGTTCTTAAGGAGCGATACTTCATTTTCTTAAGAAACGATGCTTTATTGTTTTGAAAGAATGATGATTTCATTAAACATAACACGTGATATGCATGATTAGTGATTTAAACTTTTTTTGCATTATTTTTTTTCTACGCTTCTTTTCTTCTTCCTTAAACATTTTCTTTCTATTCCACATTATTTAAATCCTTCTTTCTAAATTAATAATGACAACGTGATTTGTTTCATCAATTAAAGAAACAATTTTAAATTTTCAGAAAGCATCAAGAAATGTAAATACTGACAAATTTAACAATGTGTGGATAGGATTATTATTAAGTTTCATGAAACCTGTGGTTATTTAAATGAAATTGTTGAATTAGATAATAAAACATTATCCGATTAATTAGAACAATTTATAGTAGAAGTAAGAAAATCTAATGGTCAAGAATATAAAGCATCATTACTATATACTTGATTTTATGCTTTAGCAAGAGGAATTACTGAAATATTTGAGAAAATTAGGGTTGTAAATTTATTTGATCTTTCTCAATTTAAAAGTTTACATAGAACTTTGAATGGTCGTATGAAATCAATTGCTAATCAAGGATAATATAATCGAAAACAATCAAATCCACTAGAAATTGATGAAATCAAATTTATACTTAACTCACCTGTCACTAATACAGATACTCCTAAAGGCCTTTTATGAAGGGTTTGGATCTGGTTATCTTTATTATACTATTTAAGAGATGGTGATGCCAAACGATTAAATGCTTCTTAGATTATTAAAATGGATGATGGTGAAATAAAGCTTGAATTACCTAAGGAAAAGAATCATACAAGAGGAATTAAAGATCCATATGCAGTATCTAGTACTAGTTTTATACCACCTGATACTTCAGAAAACATTTATACACCTGTTGCAGATATTCAAAAATACTTAAATAAACGTCCTAATAATATTGAGGATGATTATTTTTTTGTATCAATCAATACACCCAAAAATATATATAATGGTAATTGGTATTTAGCAATAAAGTTAGGAAAAGGATCACATGATATGATGATGCGTAATGAATGTTCTGATTCTGGTTTAGATTTTAAAGATCGTAATATTACTAATCATTCAATGAGATCAATGGGTATTCACAATCTTGTTGAATCTGGTATTACATTTAATGAACAGATGATTTTTTCACAATATAAAACAATTGCAGGTGTATCTGCCTATCAGTATCCATCTATCAAGCGTAAATGAGATAATGCTTCTCTTCTATTTGCTACTAAAGATACGGCATTAAAGGATTCAATTAATTATACAAATCAATTAGGTATATAAACAAACATTTATGAAAATGTTTTAATTTAATTTTATTGTTTAGAACTAACTATATTTATTTTTCAGGATTTTCTTAGGCAGCTGATTTAATTGGACGATATAGCAATACTAACTTTGTTAAAAAAAAAAACGAGTCGGATGATGATTTAATATGTCAAAAATCAAAAATTCCAAAGATTTCTGTAGAAAATTGTAGTAATATTAATATTAATATTACTTTTAAATGTGATTAATATTTTTTACTAGAAATTATATTTTTATAAAATATAATGAAAATATTAGTCAAATATTAAACAAATAAAATTTCAAATAAAGCATGTCATTTAGTTTTAATACAAATTATTAAGTGGTGATTTCCCGGCTGTCTATATGAGATCGGGAAATAAGTGATCACGTGTGAAAAATTAGGATGATGAGTGCGACAGGGGATTACGTAATAAATGTCACTGCCCTAACCCCCAAAAAGCGGAAATTAATTATTAAACTTTGTTCGATTAGGTATTTTTAATCAAAAAAGAAAATATTCTTTACAATGGATATGTCCGACGAAACTTCTTCGAATATTTGTAATATAAATTTCAGGAACAAAGAGAAAAAGGGAGGTCGTCCTTTAGGAGCTGTATGGCTTCATTTTAGCAGAAGCAGTACTGAGACTCCTGGAAAGTTTGGAGCAGAATGCAAATATTGTTCCTCAAAGTGGAAACGCGCGGAAATATCTGCCTTAGAAGAACACTTAGCAAGCCATTGTCCAAATGTATCTGCTCTTATTTTACGCGAGTATATGCAAAAAGTTTCTTCACGTGAATGTACTGCAAAAAGAAGAAAGCTAGATAGTGGACAAACCACCGTTTCAACATTTTATGATTATACTGAATTACCCGAGGCAAGAATTAGTAGAATAAATCGTGCTTTAGGAAAGTTCTTTGTTGCTTGTGGCATTTCATTTCGGATTGTTGAGCATCCGTTCTTTATAGATTTTGTTAAAGAACTTAATGCTGGATATAATCCTCCAACTCGTGAATACTTATCCGGTCGTATTTTAGAACGTGAGTTATGTAACGTAAATAAAAACGTAGACAATGATATAACAAATAATTCTAATTTGACACTTGGTAAATGAATTTTATTAAAGATTATTTAAATTTGCATTTGAACATTTTTTTTAATCTTTTCTGATTTCAAAGCTTTGGATGGATGGACTTCAGGACGTAATCAGTCCATTTGGAATTTTATAATCCTTACGCCTTCGCGAAAAGAATATTTATACCAATTATCAGATCTATCAGAAGATATCCATACAGGAGAATATTTGGCTAGCAAAATTGAAGAAGTAATTGAAAAAGTAGGACTTGATCGAATTTCAGCTATAGTATCTGATAATGGTCCGAATGTTAAAAAAGCAAGAGAAATTATTAATAAGAAATATCCACGAATTGAGGATATACGTTGTATTTCTCACTGCATAAATTTGGTTGCATGCGATATTGTTAGTCACAAATTTGCGGAGCGGTTACTTCAAAAAGTCAATACATTAGTAACATTTTTTCGTAATTCACATGTTGCAGGTAGGTTAATGATTTTCATAAATTAATTCTTTATCTTTATATATAATCATTCTAATATAATATATCTATTAAATTATTATAGGAGGTATTTTTCGAAAACTTGTAAATGAATCAGGTATTGCAGGTGGAGGTCTTAAATTATATTGTAAGACCAGATGGACCACATCAAGCGAATCTGTTAATTCTGTAATAACATTAAAATCAATTTTAGAAAAGGTAATATGAAATATTATTTGAAAAACTAGTTTTGATTTTTAAAGCTTATTAAATCATTTTTTATATTTTATAAGATTGTAACCGAAAATGCAGAAATAACAAATCGAATTAAAGTAATTGTTCAAAGTCGTAACTTTTTTTCAGATTTAGAAATGTTGGCGTTTGTATTAAATCCCATAAGGAAGGCAGTTCTTTCTTTAGAAGCTCGTATGGCAACTTTAGCTGATTGTTATATGCATTTGGCTCAGCTTGCCGCTGCACTAAAAAAGTTTCCGCAAAATATTAATCGCGAGTTTCGTAACCATTGTTATACCGTGATGAATAAAAGGTTTGAAGAATTTGAGGATGATAAATATCTTCTTTGTTTTTTTTTACATCCTGAATATCGAGGTATTTTAAAATTAAATATTTTAATCCTTGTATAATCAATTTAAATTAATTCATTAACAGTACTTTATTTGTTAGCGATTTCTTTAAAAAGTAATGCATATCCAAAAGCTTTAAAAGCAGCAATTACAATAGGAAAAAATTTAGGTTTCGATTTAGATTATTCACGCGCTTTATGCTTACAATTACGTCAATACAAAGAATTTAAACCACCATTTGATTTACCATTTGGATATGGATTTGAAGAGCCATATAATTGGTGGAACTTAATTGATACTTCACCAAATCCGAATTCCTTATCTCAAATTGCTCAGCATCTTTTTGCAATTTGTCCAAATTCAGCCTCATGTGAAAGAGGATTTTCCAACCTTGGTTGGCTTACAAACAAACGACGTTTAAATTTAGGCGTAGATAAATTGGAATCAATGTGTAAAATGATCACATATTGGAAATCCAATGCAAGCAAAGAATTCGGATTCTATGGACAAATAAATAAATTAAATGATAGGGAACTTAATAAAAGTGTCATTGAAGCTTTAGTAGAACCCGATGATATTGAAGAAGAGGAAGCTCAATTTGAAAATAATAATTTGCGACGAACAACGTCTGGTGACGTTAATCCAAATCACGAAGATATTATTTTAACTGAAAAGCTTTGGATTGAAGAAAATGTTGATTTAACAAGTCAATTGGTATTAGAAGGGATTGACAAAATACCTGAAGACGATGACGATGATTTTATTGTACAAGAGGAGAAAAATGAATATGATAATAATATTACAATTAATGATGACAAAGGTATAATAGATTATAATATTATAGATTTAGTAAATGAATATTCTATATGAACGGAGTGTGTCCAGCTTGAGGTATATAATATCTTATTGACTAAAAGCAAAAAAAAAAAAAAATACCCGAAAATCAATCAAAAGGAAAATATGTTCGACCAAAATCATCAGAAATCTTATGACTAAAAACAAGTTTATACCATCATCAAAAGATGGATTAGCTTGTTCATTTCCTTTCTTTTCTCATGAAGAAAGAAGGTGTGACCAATTTAATCACAAAATTTATCGTATCGATTAAATAAAGATATACTGCATCTAAATCCTTCAAAAAGTTATCAATTAAAGTCAAAGGAAATTCGGTTCTGCTGGTCCTTTCCCTTTTCATTTCTTTACTATGCTTAACAAGGTTTGTTCAACAAATTTCGTATATACAAATTATTTCTAGAATCGTGATCATCTCCGTCACATTCTGTGAATGAAATGTGCGAAGTTAATTGCATTCATTCACTAAATTAGTAGAGAAAAACCCTTCGCCAGTTATTTTTTTAGATCTGTTATTAATCAGTATACGGTACAGCCTAGAACTTTTTGCTTTAATTCCTCAAACCAATCAACAATAATAAAAGTAAAGTTGGAATCATTTTTTTGATGAATATTGCTCTTTAAATTGCAAAATTTTCTCCGTCTTCAATATTGATTGATACAACATCCCAATATGTAAACGGCATAGAACAGTATCATCATTTCTTCTTTCAAAGAATGATATTGTGTCGTTGAATATTAAAGAATTGACTCCTAAATCTTTGTAAGCTAGCTTTAATTCCATTTGGATATTCAACAATAATGATGTTTCAACGTCCTTAATTAAAAATGTGTCTTTCGTAATAAACAAGTCACTCTTCAAGCGCTTCAAATATCTTGGAATATTCATAACGCCACTGTTCGAAGTGTAAAAGCGTAAGTCTATATCAACGTCTAATTAATACCGTAATGCAAATAATGTGGACTAACCCAACATTTTTAGATTTGTCCATAATACAATCCTTTTGAATATTTGATGTACCATCTCCTTTGCTCCAATAATTGTATTCAAAAATGTCGCGCAATTTTTGCATAGTAGGTGGAAGTTTGTATGAAGATTCAGTAAATTCTGAATGCCTGTTTATAAACGAATGAAATAATTAGGATTAGCTATGTGATTTAAAATTCAAATAAAAAAATATATATATATATGCCTATGTTCGTCATTGTCGTATGATTAGTCCATTAAAAATGTTGACACTCTTTTTGATTTCATATTCTAATTATACTAACTTTTTAATAATTAATTTCCGCTTTTGAAAATATAAAACGGAAATTAATTATTATGAAAAAAGTAGTATTATTTAATATATATTTGCTACATATCATTAGTAGCAAGATGTAATAAATTAATAAATGAATAACTAAATCTTAATAAATAATCAAGTTTTTACTTTTTATTTTATTTCTTTCGTAGACTTTTATTATATACTTACGCATATACTGTATGCTTAATAATAGATCATATAATATTTATTATCTAAGATAAAAAGTTTTCGTTCAATTGCATAATTCATCATAATCATCTTTTGTGAAAGAATCCCTAATACCATTACCATGGTTTTTACAATATCCAACATTTTAGCCAAAGTTTTACAACATAATTGCTTTGAGTGACTTGAGTGACTTTCATTTGGCATTAAAAAAAGCTAATTTTGGTTTTTTTGAAGTGCATATGCTTTAAGAACTGTCAAGATGTAAAATTGGGTTTGGCAATTTCTGCTAATATTTGAAAGACTTCCAAACTAATAGGAATTTATTTTTTTTAAAAAAAAAAATTCATAATATACTTTTCATAATAATGACAAAAGAAAGTAAAACATGTACTTGTATATATGCTTTATTTGAAGAAGATCTTTACATAAGTAAATTAATAAATACAAAAAAAAAAAAAAAACAAACAAACAAACAAAGTCTCAGGTTGTCCTAAAACATTAACAGCGTGTCTATGCAAGTACAAAAAAAAACCTTTAAACACCAAGTTGAAACTTCTAATTATGTGTAATAAGATTTTAAAAAATAATTAAAGTCGGTCTAAACTGGAATTATGGAAATTGGTCCACGAAACTATAAAACCCTTGCGAATAGTTAAAACCCTTGCGAAACTATAAAACCCCTGCGAAACGTTAAATTCTTGCGTAACTATAAAACCCTTGCGAAACGTTAAATTCCTGCGAAACTATAAAACCCTTGATTCTTGTGAAACTATAAAACCCTTGCGAAATGTTGAAACCCTTGCGAATAGCATGGCAGACATTTGTATGATTGGTCAATTTTATGTCGATCATTTCCTAATTATCAATGAGGTGATTAAATAAGATTTTTTTAAACAGATTATATTTTTAGTTATATTAAATATATCAATAATAAATTACTAATTATATATATTTATTATTTTGAAATTAATAAAATATAATTTTTCAAGTACTATTATTAAATATTGATAATAATTATTAATTATATATATTTATTATTTATAAATTAATAAAATATA